ATGCAGCGCACCCTTCATGCGACTCGCCGAATATCTCACGGCGCTTCGCGCTTGGTGATGTGAGAGCCTGGTCCGGTGAGAACCCGGCGTGCTCCGTCCCGGCTTTGTAGGGATGCGAGGTCAATGGTCTAACGACTACGGCATGCACGACTATGAGTACACCCCCCCCCACCCACCCCCCCGACCAACACTTTGCCAAGCTCGAGCACCCAAACCGATCCCCCGATACGTGTCGTCCGCGAAATGGACGGACGTTGATATACGTGAGCAGGTACGAGCAGAAGAAGCGACGCTGGACGCGAGCGTACCGGAGGCGAACCTTACGTTCCAGCACTTGAGCCGAGCGAGCCAGCTCCCCTTCAAGGATAAGGTGGACTGGTTCAACAAGCAGTGCGACCTTCTCAGAGTCCCGTGGGACGTCGAGCATCAGCACCTCAAGGTGCGTACGTGTTCTCTCTGTGTGTCTGTGTGTGTTTTGTTTTGTTTTTTTTGCATCGATCGCGCTAACCGGCTGACCAAAGTCTCCGTGCGGTCGAAGATACAAGATGCTTCCAATGGTGTGTTTTGGGGGGGGGGGGCTAGTTTGTGATGGCCCAACAGCATCAGCACCTCAAGGTGCCTGCGCTCGTGTGTGCGTAAGCTACTTGGTTGAGGCCCAACCGTGTGCACAGCACGTGGCGAAATTATCATTCTTGCGTCTGCGACGTTTAATACAGTTGTATCAGCTGCAATTTTTTTTTTAATGTCATGTAAGAACATGAAGGCTCTCGTGTCTTGTTTCTTTCATATTTGCTGCTCAAGTCTTTTTTCTTATTCTTGTGCTCTGCAGATTCGCAGGAACAATTTATTGGAGGACAGCATGGCGGCTATGGAGAGCGTGAGGTCGGAGTCCATGCGGCAAAGGTTCCGGTTTGAGTTTCTGGGGGAGCCCGGCGTTGACGCGGGAGGAGTCGCCAGAGAGTGGTTCCACCTTGTCTCAGAAGGGTAAGGGGAAGAGTGGAGTGAAATATAGATATCGTGGCATCGGCAATTCGTGGAAGATAGTTGACAATCTTTGGCCCTCACGCACGTAGTGGTTCTAGTAACACAACTGTTATAGGGGTGTTTTTTTTTTCGTTCGATATGTAATAAATAGCGTGGCACCAGCGATTCGTACAAGATAATCAACAGACTTTAGTCCTCATGTGCATAGTGAAAAAGACCTGTACACAACTCTTCTTCGTTTGAATCTTCGAATTTATTGATATTTAGATGTTTAGAGTGCTCAGCTACAAGCGAACCGGGGAGGTTAGACCATAAGGCCCACCCTCAATTCAAGGTGTTAAGTTCGACCGTGCAAGGGCCTGGCCTGCGCAACAAGTCCGATCGACTTCTCCTCTTGGTGTTGTACTACAGCAGGGTAACATTTATTTTCGAATTCTGACATGTGCTTTATGTGATAGTTACCGCGTTCCCTCTTGTTTAGAAGATACTCGAAGTTCTTATCACTCCCCTCCTTTCCACGCACACACACCATCTCTCAAACAGCCCGTAACATGCACGCCCTCTCGAAACGCTCTCCCACGAAACGCAACAACATCCACAACATCGTTTCGTGCTAGCCCCAAGCTGCGCTGCGCGCTTTCCATTGCCGTCCCTTTCGTTGGTAAGCTTCAAGTTGGCCGGTGTGAAAAGCAAGTCCGGCTGGGGCAAGGCCCCTCACCGCTCATTGCGGGTCTCCCAGATCCGATGGGCATCGATTTGGGTGATCCTCCTCAGTGAGCAGTGCGGGACCTTGCCCCAGCCCGACTTGCCGCTCATTCCGGCCTCCTGGAGCTTATCAATACAAGAGACGGTAATGGGAAGCGCGCAGCTTGGGGTCAGCACGAGTGCCACGACTACAGACTACAAACTACCAGGGCAGCAGTAAGAAGGAGAGGGCCAATAATCTTGGTTGAATTCACACGCTGAGATAAGAGCAGTGTGGTCTATCAACACCACGGTCCCGCACAGATAAACGTTGCTAGTTGTTGTTTTCGAGGGGGGGGG